GCCAACAACCACCGAGCCAACGGCCTTCCCCGCATCACCTTCCTTCAATGGGCCGACCTTCTCATCGCCACCTTCCGTCCATAAAAGACCATCGATGACTACATCGATCAATTTTGCAACCTCCGCTAAACCGGCCCCACCAAGCTTTCCATCCAATACGTTCGCCCCTCGGCCTCCACATCCCGTCGACTCTCATTCCCGACTACGTCTTCATCTCCCGCATCAAGCGGGTATGCTTCCCCCACCTCGCCGCAGCCCTCGCCCATGAGCCTGAGCTCCCTCTCTCCGATCTCCTTACCCGCCTTCTCCACCATGATCGCCTTCCTCACCTCCGCTCTCAGCGACCAGCCGCCCCCTACCGCACCCGGTTTTTCTACAACATAGCCTCTGACAGCTCATCACTCCCCTCCGAAGACGGCCTTGACTTCTCTCCCGAGTCCCTTGACCCAGCCCAATTCACCGAGGAAGACTTCCAGGCTGTCCATCTCATGAGGATGGAACATCAACGCTTGGCCTCCCAGCCTTCCTCCTCCCCCCAACCCCCTTGTCTCAAAAAGCTCACCCCCGCTGAACGCGCCTTCCTCCAGGCCAACGACGGTTGTTTCCGTTGCCGGCAGCTGGGGCATCAGCAAACCAATTGCCCCAAGGTCGACCGCTCCACCCACCAGGCTTCCCACCCCACCGGATCCAGCCCTCCCACATCCACTTCCTCCCCCTCCACCGCGGCCTCTGGGCCCTCCTCTTGAACGCTGTTCCCCCGCCCCTTGTAGCCATGCCCTGGCATCAACAATTCGTCTGCCAACCCCTTCCCCGACGACGACTTTCACACCGGACACCCCCCACGCGTCGCAGTCTACTCCGCCTGCCCTCCTCCCGACGACGTCCTCTATTCCGTCGGTTGAGCACCCCACGGCCACATGTTCCATTACCCCCCTCCCCAACCCCTCCACCATCACTTTCTCCGATCTCGTTGAGGAACAAGACCGACACACTCGGCTTGTTAGATTAGGCCTCGAGCAGCGCCGCCTCAACGCCATGATATCCTCCGTTTGTGTCGGAACCCCAGTTCCAGCTCAAGTTCGTCGCCGTCTCCTTTGGAGCATCGACGGTGAAGTTCCAGACCCTTATCGACATTGGTGCCACCAACAACTTCATCACGGATGCCTGTGTCCGCAAAGCCGGCCTCTCTTCCACCGGCTATGATTCCCCGATCACCATTCGCCTAGGGGATAAGGACTCAGACATCGTCGTCGACCGCACAGTCCCCGAGACCACAATGACTATGGGCCCTCTTTGCAATCAGGTCTCCTTTGATGTCATGCACCTCATGTGCGACATCGTACTCGGGACTCCTTGGCTCGACCGCTACATGCCCTATACCTTCCACCCCTCTTTCGTCCGCCTCTCCACCCCTCCCGATCCACTCCTTGACATCCCCTACCTTCTCCCTCCCTCCACCCTTCCCCTGTCTCTCCTCACCAATTTCTTCACATGACCCATGAGCACCCCGACTCCGCCTACTATTGCCTTGTCATTGACCGCGACCGTCCTGAGGACTTGCTTCCAACAGACAAACCCGACCAAGATCCCCCCTCCGACCCTCAGATCTCCGCCCTCCTATCCGAATTCAAAGACGTGTTTCCCGAATCCTTGCCTGTCGGACTACCTCCCGACCGAGGTGTTTCCTACACCATCGATCTCGAGCCCGACCACTCCCCCCCTTGCCGGCCCCCATACCAGCTCTCCGTCCCCGAGACCGAAGAAATGAAGCGCCAACTCAATGAACTCCTTGAAAAAGGAGGATTCATTAAGCCTAGTTCCTCCCCCTTCGGAACCAGCCGTCTCTTCGTCAAGAAGAACGGCACCTCGATACTCCGCATGTGCACAGACTACCGCGCCTTGAACCGGATCACGATCGAGAACAAGTACCCGCTTCCCCAGATATCCGAACTTCTTGATCGCCTCCGTGGAGCCAAATACTTCACCAAGATCGATCTCCGCAATGGCCTCCACCAGATCTGCATCCGCGAGGAGGACACCCACAAGACCGCCTTCCGCTCCCCCTTCGGGCACTATGAGTTTCTCGTAATGCCTTTCGATCTCACCAACGCCCCCGCCACATTCCAATCCGCCATGAACCACATCTTCCGCAACCTCCTCGAAGTCTGTGTCGTGATCTACCTCGACGACATCCTTGTTTTTAGCCCCACCTTCGAGTCCCACCTTGATCATCTCCGCCAAGTTCTCGCCATCCTCCGCGACCAGAAATTCTACGCCAAGCTCAGTAAATGCACATTTGTTGCCTCTAGCGTAGAATACCTTAGCCACATTGTCTCCGCCGACGGCATCCGCATGGACCCCAAAAAGGTCTCTTCCCTCGTCGAGTTCCCCCCTCCCACCACTTTAACCCAACTTCGCTCCTTCACGGAACTCGCCAACTACTACCGCCCCTTCATCCGCAACTTCTCCACGTTTCCTACCCTCTCCATGAGCTCACCCGTGCCACCGAACCCTTCGCTTGGACAGAATGCCGCCAAGCCGCCTTCGACAAACTCAAGGAGCTCATCACCACTGCCCACGTCCTCAAAATCGTCGACCCCACTCGCCACTTCTTCGTCACCACGGATGCCTCCGACTTTGCCATCGGGGCCGTCTTATCCCAACACTTTCCCCCCGACCCAGCGAAAACCCCACCACTGCCCACGTCCTCAAAATAGTCGACCCCACTC